GTTGTGGGGGGTGGAGAAGTTGGAAAGGAAAAGGTAAGTGCACTGCTGCAGCCTGGTCAAAACGTGAGGAGAAGAAAAAGCATGAATGGCTTTCTCCAGGTTGCTAAATTATTAATGGTGTCAGCGAGCTGTCTGTACCTGCGTCTTGAAATGTGCAGTAGAAAGCCAGCATGCAGCTTGACCTGGTAAGAAGAAATTAGAGTCAGTGCAGAAATGAACAGATGGTATTTGTTTGCTATTTGAACACACACAGTATTCTGCGATTCTTGAAATAAATTGGATGCTGTCTTTTTGATGTAAGTAAACTTTTGTTCTTCTCTTAAGTCAATCACCACAGATTCAGCTGGATGCGAGGATATGTTCAACAACCACAGGATGTCACTGTTTTACATTAATTATGGAGTGAGCGCATATACCCTTGTGACGGCTCAAGCAGGAGATATTTGCTATGTAATCTGAGAAAATCTGAGAAAGATCAAGTGAAACTTGTTATTTTTAGATGTCATTCGTCATTAGTCATGACTGTAATATTTATATTTTGAATCGGCCGATGTTTCACTGTTAATTTCCATCATTTTTACTGTAAATATTGATTCTTTGAGGATCACTGTGTTGCTTGAGGTTATATCAACATTTTAATGCACAGTATGTCACTTATTTCAAATACATGAATCCTTGAAACAGCTCAACAAAGACGCATTAAGGGGTGTAGGCCACTGTTTTCTTTTTCTGCCTGTGCACTCAGTAAGTAAAAGCAGCTTGCTTTTAAACGGAAGACGTTACTAAATTTATGCATTAAATCAAGAGCGCCAAACACAGTGAGATATTCAAATGGGCTTTGGGCAGAATAGTTCTTTTTCTTTCATAACAGTGCCTGAAAGTGTACTGGTACTAAGGCAATTAAAACATTTCACAGCAAATTCAGCCTCTCTAAAATCAGAATGGTTGGATATCAGTGGCCTTTAACAAAGACAGCATAGTGAGAGTGCACTTCACAATAAGAGCTCTTTTCAAATCAAGTGTGTGATCACACGGTGCCCACTCTAATTGCCTACCTTGTCACTGTCTCACTTATGATCCTAATACGTTATTTGCTCGTGCCTGAGTGTGTTAGCACATGTTTACTTTTGTTCTCTGAGTAGTGCATGTGGTGCGCGTTCACACATAGGCATATAACTGTGTCATACTCCCCTTTCATACACCTCAGACGCCACACACTGCCCCAAGCACTGCCACACACACACACTGACAAGCATTCCAGAGGCTGAATGCCCGCCCCCACACATACACACACACACATACCACTGGACCCACTGTTAGGGTCGCCCAAAGGGCACATGAAGGAAAACTGAGTCGTTTTATGACCAGAGGGCAACAGAGGGGAGCAGAACATTGTATTGAGAGCAAAAACAAAAGAAGGTCTGACATGAGTGACTTTCTAAAAACTGCCTTCGAGATTGAAGGCTTAAAGTGCAATGGTGCTAATTAAGTTTTTTCCACTGGAAAATATCTTCAGTCAAGTCGTGTTTATCATTCTTCTAGCATTTAAAAGATCCAAACATCTCCTTTGCTCTATGTTTCTTCAGGTTAAAACCCCAGCTGTCTATAGCGTACAAAGTGCAAAACACTCTGTTCAGCCTCCCAGGAACATGCTGAGGTGTTGTAATGTTAGCTGTGATGATAGCGAGCTTAGCTGCTAATGACAGGGAGGGTGAGAGCACGAGGAAAGTGGGTGGTGTGAAACTTCAGTTATCTAAGTGCTACCAGTCACCAAAAGCAAAAGGGGAAGCCAGGAAGTAAATAAGCAATTGAAACTGATATTCAGCTGAAATCAATACTTGAATGAGTCTCAGAGGCAGACATGCATTCACATGCAGTCACACTGGCTTGTTTTTATAGTTATAGTACTTGAAATAAAGTATACAGAATAAGTGACCAGATGAACATTTGGGAAAGTTTTGAGAAAGCCAGTTTGCAGATGATTAATTTTAAAGCCAGTCTTTGCCGTGTCATGTCGGTGACATTTTGTGGAATGTGGAGTAAAACCTAAAAAATGCTATAGGTCTGCTCCAACAATCAAAGCTAGATGATTCACATTTATTTCTTTTTTTTTACTATATTGCATAAGCCACATTGTTTTGAATTTCTATATTGTTTTCATAATGTATTAAAAATGAAGACAAGAATAAATTTGAATTTAATTTTGTGAATTTGAATGTGTTGCCCATATTTTGGCCAAAGCTTGGCCATATTTCTGGTGCTCCTACTTGGCACCCCTGCCCTATCCATCTTATTCAAGGTAAAACTTGTGGTGAGAAATTAGAAGTTGTTGCATTGACTATCTGTGGTTAGTCTCAGTGGCTAATCTTGTTGACTAACAGTGGTTCTTTTCTAAATTAATTTGCCTTCAATTTTTTTTTTTTTTTTCAAACTTGATAATTTTTTTTGTGCTGCCTTCAGACACGGTTCTCAAGTATGTACATTTTTGAATCTTGACCAAAATGGTGCGATTTCTTTCAAAAACATGGGAAAAAATGCAATGAGCAACTTGGAAATAATATCTCAAAAACTGCAAAAAAAACCCAACAACAATATATTTACAAAATTATTATTAAAAAAAAACAGGGGGAAAGAAAAGCTAGGGGAATTTTATATTAGTACATATTTAATTTTTCTAGTAATGTTCTTGTTTTGAAATTTCTCTGGATGCCGTCCAGGTCCCTGAGGTAGGGGGTGGGTGGGAGGGTTTATTTATATGATTTCAGATTTAATTTAAGTTGTTGATTATTTTCAAGGATTTCATTATTATTTTCTGTTTATTTGATCTTGCTGATTATTTTATGTGCTACTTGCCAGTGTATCTGCTTTTAATTTTATGACATGTTTGTTCTCATTTTCTTTTCTCCTTTTTGTATAAAGATTTCTTGAATAAAGGAAAAAAAATTTGATCACAAAAAATTTCTCTGGATGCCACCCATACTATACAACGTTAATACCGGATTGTCCCGTATGAAAAAAATGAAGTGCACCATTCCGCACTGAATCAGTATGGGAAATGATTTTTTGAGAGTGGAGGACAATTAAATCAGAAATTGTAGAAGAGAATGACACCTATGACAGGTTTCTCACTCAATGTCTGTACATGACATCTACCCCTCCCTGTCTGACTGCATTCTCAACCTAAATTAGAAATAAAATACACTATACAGTAAACTAAAAAGCATACCTTAAATCAGTGGTTCCCAACTGGTGGGTCGCAGTCCAGAAGTGGGTCACAGCTTCATACTGAATGGACCGCAAGTGATTCGCCAATGTGTCACATTTGTAAAAGACACACTTTATTTTGAAGTACAGTGAATTTTCCAGGACAGAGTTTTTATTTTGAAGTGTCTGAAGCTCCCTGCTGTAGAGTGAGTGAATAACAGACAGCTACTTAATGGAGACAGCAAAGTAGCTCAACGACATGGCACAGATTTTATTCACTCATTCATTCTCTGTGGACCTTGAACTTATGACTAAGGAGAAATATGGATCCCGTGGCTGGACCAGTTGGGAACCACTGCCTTAAATTATGTGTTTAGTCATCTACGCTAAATGTGTTATCAATTTACTGTACCTCTTTCATTTCATATAAAATAGGTGCCTAAAGTTATTTATCTTACCTCACCGCTGTTAAGGAGACAAGCGGAGTATTAGCTGGTAAATACCACTTTTATGTACTTTACATGGAGCTAAAATGAATACAGAATTATGTTAAATATTTGCCGAATGTGTTAATGTCTGTTTCTTAGTGGTAAGAAATCATCTTACTCTTTTAAGAGTAGATGTTTAGCATAAGCTAGCTGGGGCTCTGTAAATTTAACAATATGCGAACATAGGAAGGCAAGCTAACTGCTAACATGTTTATTAAAAAAGGAAAACAACCATTGCTCTGAGATGGCTGTCAGAGATGACAGAGGTAATATCATGTTATCCTGTCTGATGTGTGATAGATAGTGTGTTTCACCTTTTATTACCCAGTCGCTCGAGAAAAAGAGGATTGACATACCGTTAGGTACCATTACCACTGGAAAACAGGTTTTGGTGCAGCGCCAGAAGTCATGCCATAATTCACGCAAGGTATCATGGGGGCTAGGAATATGGTGGACGCATCCCATATGTTATAATTCTCTTTGGCTCTCACTGTAACCTCTGAACTTCTTGATGTGTATTTTTTCTTATTCCCTGCACATCCGTGACTGTTTGCCTCTCCAGTTTCAGCCTTAGGTACAAGCCTTTCCTGCGCCAGGAAATGTGCTAGCTGGTTCATTGCAGCGCAGGGTATATTTACCAGTAGGCAGCTTGGGAGCAGCCATAAAGATATTGCACATTCATTTGTTTGCATCGTGGCTTTGACTAACTTCATACATTAGCCCCTGCTCCCCTAATGCATAGAGCTCCAATTAGTGGGGAAAGAGTTTGCACTAATGCTGCATTTAAATTAACTTTTAGTTTTTTTTCTCTCTCTTATTTTTCCTGTCTCTATGGAAATTACAAAATAAAACTAAACCCCCATATTCCTAATAGTCTCCTTAAGTCAGTTGCTACTGTATGAGTGAAGCAGAATGTGGAAATATCTCTCTATAGCTTAACCTTCTTTAAGAACATTGCAGACGGCACTTGAGGTAAAGGACTAAAGGAAAAATGTTGCAGAATTTCTGCTTTGATGTATGAGATTTCTATATGTAAAGCCTCTGAAGTCCAGAGAAAAAGAAGAAAAAGCATTAAGTCAAGTCAGCAGTACCAAGATGTTCTGTACACTTTGCTATGCAGTGCATAGCTTAACTCCGACATTAAAAGAACATTTCACATTTGGAAAAATAAGCCACAAATAAGAACCAATGCTTAAGGTGTAATGTTATTTGTCTTTGTGTCAGATTTAAGAGCTTGTATTGATTTAGATGCTAATACAACACATGCACAAACAAACCTTGTAGGACAAGTCACCTGTAGGCTCAGCATGTTATTTAAAGATTTATTTTGAAAGAAAAAATGCTCCTCAAGATGATTATCAGTCATTATAATAAAGTATCTAAATACAGGCAACTGAGGTATATCTGTCTTTCTACAGGTGGAGTGTGAGAGAGAGGCAGAGAGAAAGAAAGCCTGAGGGAGTGAGCGACAGTGACAGAGGGACAGGAAGCTTGCACAAACAATGTGAAGAACAGAGTACAGGGAAACGGCAATGTGGACTGGACATGGAGGGTGTTGTGAACTGTCTGAAAAAGTAGTCTCCATGATCATGGCGTGTCATTCATTGGCATAGGCAAAGGCAAAATTTCCACAATTAACAACCTTGTAGAAAATAAAGTCATTCAAAACCAGGAAAATTATACTTTTATCCACTGACGTGATACCCCCTGCATTCAGATAAATGCATGCAATGTTCCAGCAAAGACTCACAGTCTAAAATAGAAAAATCCTTCGAAAGCTCAGTTATATTGTCTGTCAACTGACTTCAATGTGTAAAAGTTATTTTAAAAAAAAGAAAAAAAAAAAGATGGGTAATATGGCACACTTCATGTGACGAAACCGAGATCAAATGGAGAAATCGCTGCACCTTTCTTAAATAGATCGAGATTTTGTGAAATACACTTATTCACTTTCTTGCCGGGAGTTTGTTGAGAATATTGGTTCCACTCATACCAGTGTGTTAATTATGAATATAACTTGGCTTAGTATACAGAAACAGGAAACAGGGGTAACAGGCTGGCAAGCTTTGTCCAAAGGAAAGACAAAATCTGCCAACCAGCACATTTAAAGCTAACTAATTAATCTGTTATATGTTTGTTTAATCAACAGTAAAATGAAAGGGAAAAGACTTCAAGTCCTGAAGACTTGTCATAATTAGGTTACCAGGCAGCTGGCGGAGACTCCACAAAGTTATTGCTCCAAGCCAAGAAATCGTCTGGCACATAACACCATGCAGAAACACAGCTTGTTATTGTATCTCACACGCCATCTACTGTACTCTATGAGCAGTACTCTCCTCCAATCACAAGCATGCATACACATATAAGGAGGCATGTGACGCCATCAGACATCCTTTTCTCTACGGCAATGGCAATTTGCCCACTAACCTTTAGCAGGTTAGGATCAGTGTGGCTAGGCAGACGTTATATCGCAGCAGGGTGTTCATTTATTGGGCTCCACCCAATGTACCCAACATGTGAGATGTGTGAGACAGAGTGAAGGTTACAGTATTGTAACACTTGCATTGACATGACATTGACACTGACATTTAATACAGGTGAAGCCCTCTATGTAGGAGCCCTGTTGCTCCTATGCCACTTGCTCAAGAGGTTGTAGGATGTCTGATGTAGTCACAATGCCTTCTTATATACTGTGGGCTCTGCATGTATTCAGGTAGACACATCCTGATTGGCTGGCAACATTTATACAAATTTAGGTGGGGGAATGCCTGCTTGCACCTATGAAACAAATGAGAAGTAACAAAGTTACTAGTGAACTTTAGAGATGTTTGCGGGCACTTTTTCTTTAACCTTTGGACAGAGCCAGGCTGGCTGTTTCCAGTCTTTATGCCAAGCTATGCTAGCCTGCTGCTGGCTGTATAAAGACAAGAGAGTGGTATCGATCTTTTCACCTAACTCACCGCAAGAAAGTAATTAAGTGTTTTTTGAAAAAGTCAGGCTATCGCTTTAATGATACATTTTCTGATCCTTTGTTCTCCTGCAAATACACATCATCCTCTCAGACACAGCAGCACAACAGATCATGTAAGGCATACTAATTTGCTTGACAAAGAGTAGGCAGCGATCAGGGGAAATTTGCTGAAGTTCAACCAGCTTTGACCAGCATAGTGCTCTGGACTCATCTGCACACACTGTGATGACACAGAGCTGGTTTAAAATAGTCAAAGTTTCCCTTTAAAAAGACTGGAAAACACATAGTGACAAACATCTTCGCAGAAACACACAGGAGGCTCAGTGAATGTATAAAAAGGGTCTGGTGACTCGATTGTCAGCTCAATGACTCATGACCAGCTGTCGTCTTAAAGGCAAAAAAATATATATATTTTGGTTTATTTGACATACTGCTAATGAGCGGCAGCTGCCTGTCAACTGCAGTTAAGTCTTTATTATTAAAGATAGAACAGTATTGTGTAATATGTGATTACAGTTTAATACTTACTGGTCTATTCAGCAAAATAAATTCTGATTTTCTGTAATAATTTACCTAATCAATTTATACGTATTAACAAAGAGTACATTATGAATACATTGTAGAGTGTATCAGTACATACTGTAGATGGAGGCTGAAACCAGCTGAGGTTTTATGAGAGGCATACAGCTCAGTCCCACATACAGTACAGTGGTTCAGCCCTGTTACATGTGTATGAGTGTGAGTGGGTGGTTTATTCATATGCCAGTGGATTTGCACATTTGTCTGTCTGCCCCTCTCTTGCCAACAACTTGTACAGTATTTTGACTGAACCACACTTTCTCTCTCACACACAAACACACACGCACTCACACATACACATACATTGGCAGACTCACAACTGATGAGTAAAACAGGATGAAAATTGAGAGGAAAAAATAAAAACACTAGGAGTGATTGTATCCAGTGAATAGCAGAATAATCTGGCTGATTGAATGAACTACAGTATCAGAGTTGGGGAGACAGTGCTCCGTCTGTCCGCAAGGGTACAGTCCACTGTTTTCCTCGGAGGAAGTGGATACTGCAGTGTCAGTCCACCAGCCCTGGTCCATCCAGTAAAGAGCTAAGGGGAGTTTCCACTTCCCTGTAGCCCCCCACAAGTGCTCCAACAGTCAGAGGGAAGAGGTACTGCAAGGTGACAGGGACGACCCACTTCAGAACAGTCCCCATCCCAGAGGTCTGTGGATCACCACACACGGCAGATGTTGTCAGGGACCATGTAACTGCTCTTGTTGCAGTTGAATGCTTTGGCAAATTCTGGGAAATTCTGAAGGGAGCCCAGTACCCTGTAACATATAAAGAGGAGATGGTTGGTTGGGGTCAAAGTTGCTGTGTTAGAAGGTTACTTGAAATTGAAATGTCATTTGATCAAGGCTTTAAAATGTTAGCTAATACTGTGATGTGTTCCCTGCCCTTTGACTCACGTGGCTGATTACTGTAAAAGAAAAACTCCATGGTAAATTTACCTGAATTTCCCTGGACTGTGTACATCTACTTTAATGGAATTAACAGCTTGCTCCGGTCGGTGTGTTCCACACCACACCTGAAGAAGAAGAGAAGAGATTATGATGTGCCGCATTAAATCAGTATAGTATACAGTAGACTGCACTCTTTCCAACTTATTCATCCATCCATGGAATCAAACATGTTTGTGTTCACCCAGTCTTTCCATCCATCCATCCATCCATCCATCCATCCATTAATCAACCAATCAATCAATTAACTACCTGAGCAAAGTTTAAGAAGAAGAGTTGGTCGTGGGAAAGGTAGATGCCCGGCAGTGGTGGCTCCTCTCCATGCTCTGCCACATAGTTCTTATAGGCCTGCAATTTAATATAGGACACATGTTCTCATCTTATCTCACCACTGACATATCTAAAATGTCTCAGAATGACCTAATTGTTACTGCTTCCTATTCAAATAAAAGTATGATTTCTGAGAACACTGCATTTAACCTTCTTACACTGTAGTGTCACATGCCTGGTAAATCATGTGAATGCTAAAAATACAAATGTATTCTGCAAACAGTCTGGTCAGCTCTAAATTCACTAATTTATTGCTACAAATTAAAAGCTGCTGTAGCAGCTAATCTAAGCTGTATATTCAGATTTTAAATTGTACTTTTAATGTTAATTCATGTCACAGAAAAAAATACATTTTCTGATTTTTGCTGTCACCTTTCCTGTTCAGCATGACACTTCAACAACAGTACACAGGCATGTTGTCTGAGATGTTGTTACTCATCAAGGCAATCAAATTGACACTTTGCATAAGAAGAGCAACAAAATGGACAACGTTAGAGAACAGATATACAAGCAATGTGCACTGTGCATTATCTTGTATTGAATTTAAATCTGTTAATGTCCAGTTTGTGTTCACCTCTAAAAACTGACAAAATCAGCAGCAACATCATGTCCTTCATTGTTTACAAAAGCTAATGAGCATTTTAATGTCCTGACAAAATGACACATCTATTAATGTTAGCAAGCAGACAATGATAAAGACAGAGTGCAACATGCCATACTCTTAAAACCACACCCATCAGAGGGGAATACAATCAGCACCACAATAGAGTGATGCAAGAATGACTTCTATGCGTAGGCCAACCCAGAAGTCAACATCACCTTGGTTGCCTCTACAAAAAGTCATGGACATTGACGTAAGTTAAAAGTTAATGTTAGGCTAAAGCCTAAACAAATGACACCATGGTCACATGACGTCAACCACCACAACAAGGATGTAAAGCCAGGTTTGGCATCTCATTTAGTCACTTGTTGGCAGCCATCTTTTTTAAGACATGTAAAAGCTTCAAAATGTGCAAGTGTTGTATTTGCTTAGAGGTATTTTATGTCACAGAACAAAATGTAAAAAAAAATCTCTTAAGCTTGTGTTAACTACAGACCTTATTTCAGACGTTTAACCAAAACCCATTCAAAAAACCCAATGATTTTAAAACGAGGGAAGCAGGAGTGATAAAATGCTCATTTCCAGATTGAAGGACTTCTTCCTGCAGCACTTTATATGCAATATGCAAGTGCTGAAACACTAACACAATGTCTGTAGCTAGCTTAAAATATTAGTTTTTAGTATGTCAAAGGATTATCCTTGCACCCTATGTCTACTAAAGAGGAACTCAATATTGTCAGTCTATCTTAGTGCCCCTTCTCCGTACCTTACCTATGCTTTCTTATTTACAATGATTCGATAGAATCACCAGGTAAGATCATCATTTTACCTAACAAAGATCAAAAGCAGGTCTTGCATAGCTTAGGTAGCCTCAAACTAAGCAGTTTATCTGGCAAAAGTAGAAATATGTATTGCTTCTCACGGCATAGTGTCAGGATGCCACAGTTTTCCTATTTTTCCTGCTGATGCCTCAAGTGCTTTATCCATGGGCTCAGATTTTTGGTACTGCAGGTTCAAAAAACTTTGTTTTGGCCTCTTTACCCTGTTGGTAGTGCATCACATCTCACACAGGTTATGGGCATTTGTCGGTTGTTTGCCATCAGACAGAAGTGACAAGGAGGCATCTTTATGCGATACAAAGTCAATGGACAACAATGAATTGTTTTCCCCTCCAGTATAGGCCAGACATAATTGCACTCTGTCTATATCAAACCACACTCTCAGTCCCATCCTCTGTCATCTTTAAACCAGGATTCTTAAACCGAGTTTCCTCCTTTGTTTTCAGGCTCATTACCTGATACGCCTGCCGTATCCCTCCATTGTCAGCAATGTTCTCCCCGAGGGTGTTGTTACCATTTAACTAGAGAGGGGACATAAGGAGAGAAAACATAAAGATTGGCAGGAAAAAAAGACATAGGGAGATGGTAATTTTCGCTCTGTATTTCAGCAAATCACAGATAACACTTTTGGGATACAAGAAATAATTTTCCCAGGGGGATAAAAGAAGCATTGTTCAAAGCAACAGGACAGAGGAGGAGAGACAAAGACAGGGAGAGGGATTGATATGTCAACACGAGATATTAAAGCCACCTGAAGCAGAGAAGAGATGAGCCTGCAAAACTGAGGGGAAGATGGAAATGGATAGGCTTGCAAAGGTAACAGCAAAGCAAATACATGAGAAAATAAGAAATGTTTGGGATAATATTTGATGAAATGTAGATTCTATAAAAACTTTGAGGGAAAATGATGAAATAAACAGATTTTCTGCCAGGACTTACATGAAGTCCATTGGCCAGGTCCCAGGAAAAGTTGCCATATTGATTGACTATGCACTTTGACAGATCAAGGAACCTTTGAGTGGAGTCCGGAGTCCACCAGTCTTTCAGGTCTCCATCCTTGTCATAGTTACGACCTAAAAAAAAGAGGCATGAAAGGTTAGCCGGTTGGATTAGATCAGCAAGACAAAAAAATTGTTGGATTGTTGACAGTTCTCTGAGATTCTGCAAGTGATGTTAATTACACATTTTCACTGCATTTAAAAAAGTCTGTTGTGTTTTCAAGTGGCTCACAGTTGTGGATAGCAGTGTAAAAGAATCATGACACTGAACACAACAACTTCACATAATCCAATGAAAATTAATGTGGTGAAAAATGATCAGAGGCGGCACAAAGAAGAGGCATTTCAAAAGACCTTTTTTTCTGAGGTGGTGCCAGAAACAGAAACAGAAAGGGAAATATTTCTCTCAAAATAGTATTTTAGTCTACCAAAACAGCCTCTTGGAGAAACACAGAGCAGCAGTGTGGAAAATCATACCATTGTCATCAAAGCCATGTGTGATCTCATGACCGATTACCATGCCGATGCCACCATAGTTGAGAGATTTAGCCTGGCCTTTGCTGAAGAAAGGCGGCTGGAGGATACCTGCAGGAAATACTGACACCACAGAAAAACAAAACAAACAAATAAACAAAACAAAGGTTTGTTTTTACAAAACTTTACAGAATTAATGTTGAATAGTCGCACACGTGTCTTTGCATGTGCTCATGTGAAAATACCTATTTGGTTTTTGCTGGATGAGTAGAAGGCGTTGACAACAGCAGCTCCAGTTACCCACCTGCAGAAGACAAGGAGAGTGGAGAATGATACAGTAAGGAGCACTACAGTGCAGCACAATTCAGACTTGATGAAAGATATTAAAATTAACCTGTGATTAATAACAGCAAGCTAATATTAGCATTCCTGCTGTGCTTAGTGGAAGGCTGCATTGTATGTGTGAGTGGGCGTATGTGTGGGAGAATGTGAATGCACTGTGCTAAATGCAAGATGGTGTGTCACACCACAAGCACCATAAGCAAATTTATTATTAGTGATTTACAGTAAACACTTAACATTGTAACTTTAAATTATTGCACATCTGGGATAAGCCTGTTTGCAGAGCAAAGATCTAGTACTGCCCGAGAACTGCATCGATTAAATCTTACTCTTCTTTGTTGACTTTGACTCTGAGTTTCCGCAGGCGTTTCTTCTGCACATACTCCAGGTTCTGTAGGATGTTTTCAAAGTACTCCTCTGCACTGTAGGCCAGCTAACACCAACACACAGCCAGAGAAACAGGAGGATTAGCCCTGATGAGAGCTATCAACACTTGGTGCTATATTCTCCAGCAAAAACTCATAAAAGCCAAGAATTCACTGAGATGTTTTCACAGAACTGATACGGAGCTACGCTGAACCATGTCTGTGTTCTGTTACTCTGATTCGGTGAAAGACGGAAAACATTCATGATCACATCTTTCAGAAACTCACATCTTTGTACTCATTGTTAAGGTATTGGTCATCCATGATGTTGTCAGAATAGCCGATCCGTTCCCGAATAGCTCGGGCCTGCAGAAAATTAAAGAAAACAATTTGACAAACAAACAACATAAATGTCACAGATCCTAAAGAACTGAATACAATGCAATACAACAGATGGTACGTTATAACCAATACCTTCTCCTCAGCTGCTTTCTTGGTCTCCGCATCCATCCAAGTCAGGTCATCAAGGTTACTTATGAACACTTCCCGAATGTCTTTAATCATCTCCTCCATCTGATGCCCACACACACACACACACGTGCACATACAAAAAGAAAGAGACAACAGTCACAAATATGTCAGTGATATTTCATAATCAAATGTATACCATGAAAAAACATTAGCTGTCAGTCAGTGCAAATTGTGAATAGTGTGGGAGTTTTTCTCATAAGGTCTGCAGAGAGGGTTTAGTGGAAAGTACACACTCACACAAACACACACACACACGCACACACAGAAAAAAAAAAAAAAAGAATTGCAACATACTGTGCAACACAGTCATAAAAATACACTTCCCTGAATCAGGCATCATTATTACACTGTCACATATCAATGCAGAAGCACTCACTAACACTCCCTTTGTGCAGAAGCATGGTGGCTCTGGGTAACATTACAAGTAATGTAATAATCCTTTTTGAGATTAATATGACGGATGGAATAATAGTAAAAAAAAAACTTATTATATATGAAGAAAGAGGTGAGGCAGTGGCTGTCAGAATTACAACGTGTTTACTAACAATTAAAGGGGTTTATCTTTCACTTTAGTTAATATTGAGAGATAGCGGAGGTCTGCACTCTCTGAGTGCCCTTGCATTTGATAATTCTACCAATTTACATAATGCATCTCAAGCCTTTAAATATTTACATTTCCTTGAAGATGACTCCAGCAATTTCAATCAAGCTTTATAATTCTATGATGTACTTGAGCTTAATGTTTAACGCTAAACCTAAAATGCTATTCTTAATTAGCAAATAAATGTGTGTGACTGAACAAATACTTCCATGTCAGCAAACTTGTCATCACACAACTTATTTGCATAACTGCCCAGGTCTCAAGATAATTATATTTTCGATTTTTATAAAATTCACACAGTAAGATGCTCCACAATCCACATCCAACACTGAGCTTTCAGTGGGAACCTGTGGTGTACATTTAATGTTTCTATAATGTATTACTCCTGAGTTGCAGTATTTACAAGAATGTGCCCGCACACAGAGAGACAGACTGGCTGACGCCACCATGATGGTATAATGCTGTGCAAACCATGTACTGTATACCATGGTCATCAGACAGTTAAAAGCCAATTCTACAACAACAAACTACAACAGTCCCACAAAAAAGTACCTGAACCACTAAAAGAATGAAAGCAAAATAGGAAGAGGAAAAATTAAAAACTGCAGTGACAGCAAAGGTCATCTTTCCAGATCCCTCAAACCACAGTTGTTCTCTGAGACCGCAGCGAGCTAACAGACGCATTCCTGTGTCTCATCACATCAGCAGACTCCTCGCTAACGCACTCCATGATCGCTCGGACAACACGCTGTGGTTCGCCACAAATCACCAGGGACAATACTGGTGAGGCTTTTCTAAAAACCTTTTAGCATACAGCGCACGCCTATGTGTGCACGTGAGTTTGTGTTGGGTGCATGAGTAGATGTTTGTGGTTACATGCATGCATGTCTGTTTGCGTGTGAAATGCTTTTACATAATCTACATGGGTCAAAAGCAGGGTTCATATACAGTGGTAATCCCAGTAAATCTGTATGTATCGTGGTATTTTCAAAGGTAATGATTCCCCATTATGGGCACTAATCCACTGCTATTCAATTTGATTTGATTTTAGTTTTATTGATTAGTTTAATTAGCATTTTACTGTTGTAGTTGGTCATGGTAGTTTAATCTATAAGAAAAACACATTAAAAAGCTGATCACATTTCTTTTTGAAATACTTACCAGAAAAGTAACCAGTAACTATAGCAGGCAAATAAATACAATGGGAAAGAATGTTTGCTCTAAATCAGAAAAGGTCATATAAATAGTATAAATGCTAAGTGCTCAAAGGGACACTACATGTGAATAGGGTACATTTTTTTAACATATAGCTATCACCATGGAACCTCCTCAGCTGATTACTTACATGAAGACAGTCATTTTTGTATGCACGTTTTTTTGAAACTGTTTTAAATATGCAAATGAGGTTTATCAAATTAAATATGCGCTTATTTGCATATATTTCCAGAGAGAAAATCTGAACATTGGATAAAGTCAGGACCAAAATTCCTGCTTCAGTTTCTTTACATATTAGAGTCAAAGGTTTTTACAGAGGGAGGGGATTTTGAATATCTGTTATTTTTATCAACCCACTTCTTTCAACACTCGTAAAAAAAAATTAAAGAAGAAGAAGAAGAAGAAGAAGAAGAAGAGTATCTAAATCAGGCTATAAAAGATATATGCACGAACCCTTCTATAAACGGCTTCAGAATATACATAGGAATAAAACTGTAAAGTTTGGTGTAAGTGCTACTTAAGTATGAAGTATGAGGGTAAAAAAACTCATTTTGCAAACTGTCTCAATCTGAAGTCTTTGAATTCCGGTGCTGGGAAAGTGACTTGGAGGCTCAGACACTGACTAAAAAAGCCGCCCTTTAACACCAGCGTGATACCTGGCTGATCACCGTGATAGTTTAACAGCACTCTTTGGCATCGGGGGGAAACGTGTAGGGACATGAACAAAAGTTAAAGGATAACTTCGGTATTTTTCAACCTGGGCCCTATTTCCCCATGTGTATGTGTGTGTATGATTCATAGGTACAACTCGTTCTAAAATTGGTTCAGTATTGAGGGAGGCGGACGCAGCCAGCAGCCGCGAAACAAGCTAAAACAGTAACGGGGTCAAATGTGTCCCGTATAAGTTTGCGCATTAAAAGTGCTTTTTTTCACCACTGACCGGTTCAGATCGCCAGTGCTATCTCTGTAAATAGCATACTAAGCATCTCCCTTACCTCTGGGCTGTGTGATGTCATCTCGCGAGAGCTTTGCTTGTTGCCGGAAGAAAACAGAGGAGCCATGCTGAGCGCTGCTCAGAGTGGCGCTGGTTGTCCCGGAGTACAGTTGAGAGTTTTACTGCATCGATTGAAAACAATGGTTCGTGTTCATGCTTATCCGAATTGCAAGGACAGGATGTCGCGCAACACCCCGTACAGCTTTCATAGGCTGCCTTTGTCAGACGGCGAGATGCTGAAGTTGTGGCTAGTTGTGCTACAAATGGATGCTAACACTCCTGTCCAGACACTGCGCCTTGCAGACCATCGGGTCTGCAGTGCTCACTTCTCCCAAGATGACTACTGCCAGCCGAAGAAGAGAAGACATCCAATCCCGAAACACCTGTTCCTCGAGAAGAGAGAACTACAGACACAGTGGAGCAAAGCTTTCGCGAGATGACGTCACACACAGCCCAGAGGTAAGGGAAACGCTTAGTATGCTATTTACAGAGATAGCACTGGCGATCTGAACTGGTCAGTGGGGAAAAAAAGCACTTCTAATGCACAAACTTATACGGGACGCATTTGCCCCCGTTACTGTTTTAGCTCGTTTCGCGGCTCCCGGCTGCATCTGCCTCCCTCAATACTCAACCAATTTTAAAACAAGTTGTACCTATGAATCATACGCACACATACACATGGGGAAATAGGACCCAAGTTGAAAAATACTGAAGTTATCCTTTAAGGCAGCGAAAGCCAGAGTAGGGTGGTTGTGAGGGATGGTGGATGGGTCCATCAAACACAGACTTTCACCAAAAAACACCAACTTTCACCCGAGAGAGCGGTGTCCGTGTCCCGTACGATTCTAAAACCAAATCCCTTTCTTTTTTTCTAAACCCAATCACATGCTTTTGTTGCATAACCCCAACCATGTGTGTTAGTTGCTAGAGGAAACAAAAAAGTAAATCTGTGTTGTTGTACTGACAGTGTGTTTATTTTGAGAGGGACTGTATGTAAATGTTAAATTTCCTGTATAAACGGAAGTGTATTTTGAAAGAAGGCAAGACGTGTAAGAGGCAGAACTTGTTCCAGAATGTCAACAGGGTACCTTTCACGTCGTATCTGGACATGGAATGTCCATGACCAAACATCGATACTAACGAGGTTGGAATAAGAATGTATTGCATTTTGAGCAAACCGCCTTTCAAGTTATGTGTTTGTAAAATGGCATACTTTTTTTAGGCAAAAAATCAGACAATACAGGTAAACAGCTTAAAATCTTTAACTAATAAATATGTGATACAAGTGTTCCAAAGTTTTATGCTTAAATATGCAAATGATTATTAATTTTGCATGTTTTGCATACATATGTTTTCGCCTGGGGTGTCTCGCCTCAAGTAAGAAACTCTAAAAGTACTTGTGTAAAAGTACTTAGTTACATCCCACTGATGATCATATCTGAAATATCTGTGGCTGAGAGAAGGTTGGTATGTGAGCAGTGCAGCGTGCAGCGTGCCAGCTGCAGCTCAGCTCAGCAATCTTACACACGGCATATGTATTCAAGGAAAGTGGTCTTGATACTGTCTATCGAGTTGTGTGTGACTTGTCACACACACAAACACATTTACCGAGGATGCAATCTGAAACCCACATGCTAGAGTGGGTACAGGTTCCGAAAATAACAAATCTTTATGGTGTGTGAGACACACAGTGTTGCGAAAGATGTACATGGTTATACACAATCTGACTCACAATGTGACACTCATACACACACGTGCAGCCAATGAGTTGAGGTTTACAGTGTGCCTGGTGTGGACATGATAACAAGGACACCTTATTCAGCTGCTTTGAATGGGTGCAAGCAGAAAATACAATACTGTGATAGAGACACATGATGCAATGGTGACAAAAGAGTCAGAGAAAAATACTCCCAGCAGGGATGGGCCTGAAACACATGTACTCAGACTGTATGTATGAATACATAAATAAATAAACAAACACTTACACTGTATTTGTAAAAATTCACACCTTGCAGATTAATGTCTGTGTTTGGTAGCAGCTCCAAGTGTCAATTAATGTGCATGTGTAAATAACAACAGAGTGAAAAAATTCAGTATCCCCTTAGGGATTAATAAAGTATGTCTCCTTCTTCTTTTAAACGAGAAATCCTTCAATTTTGTTTTAGACAGATTATACTCTGTCTACTAAAGAAATGCTTGAGCTTTTTATCCTTCATTCAATCCAATCACCCACTGACCAGTTCTTTGCTCTTTTCAGAGAAGGCCTCCTGCACATACAGTCGTCCCACAGCATTGTCCATGTTGTTGTTGACGTAGAGTGCACACTGTCGCCACACCGCTGCCTCTGATGTAGTGCCAGACAGAGCCTGTAGGGAAAGTAATGAGGCACCGATCAATTAGAGATTCAGGATAAACCCGTCAGCATGTTAGTTAAAGAGACTCATGGTGATTCCTTATTTGTGCCTCCATTATGCATCACTGTTACACTTAGGAAGATAAGCAATAGGGCAGAAGGGAAATGCTTAGATTACGAAGAGGGCTAGGATTAAGACTTATAAATGCTGAAGAAGAATATGAATGGAGCTGAGTGTAGACATCTAGTGTTTATTTATTGCCCAACTGATACCTCAGTATCGGTGTAAATGTCAGCTGATACTGCAAGTTGCAAGAAATGGCAGTATAGGATTATTTAGAAACAGTCTAACATGGAAGTTTTCTTGCAGCATGGCTTTACAGTACACATTTGATCCAGACTGAAATATCTTGATTTATGGATGGATTACCATAGAGTTTTGCATAGACTTTCATGGTCCACAGTAGAGGAATCCTTGCACTTTGGCAATACCTTGACTTTTCATCCAGTGCTACAGTGAAGACATTCATGTCCACCTCTAATTAATTGTAGTCACTTTGGTTATTTGGTGAAGTTGACTTTTCAGGTGGCACCGGCAGGTCAAAGTTTGACTTGATTGTAAAAAACAAAGATAGATGATGTTTCAGCCTTTGGGCCTTCTTAAAGCTCCAGTAGGCAACATTGTTTTGGTATAACTGAGTAAAAATTTTATAATAACCTCTAAGCATAATGTAAATCAAGTGGTCTGAGACAAACAATAGGTTTCTGCACCTCACCATGGCTCTGTGTTCAGCCTCTAAAGAATCAGTATCGTGCTGATGTGCATCAACCAATCAAAGGTCAGCTCAGACCACTGCGTTCCTATTGGCTGTTCTACTGCATATGCGCTTTCCCGTGCAGCCGGCAGAAGGGGAGAGCAAGCGGCAATGGCGAACAGTGCACCAGGTAAAATAACTATTCCAGCATTGGTTACAACTGCCTACATGGCTAAAGCCAAAAAAAGGAAGACAGAACTCGGTTCCCCGGAGCCCCGGAGGGAGGGGAAGGGTGAGGTGGGGGCCGGAGGGCGCGAGGGTCAGCCGTGATCAGCAACTCATTATAGTTTTTGGTGTGTGTAACTTTTATATTCTAAACAAAGTTTGACTTGATCACTACCCAGCTGGCCACCATCATCCTTAGATGCTGATGTTTGGTTACATTTAGGCTGTGATGTTAGGTGACCCAAATTCAACGTCTTCCAAACGTCACCCGCAAACTGCATCTTGACGTAATAACATTGTGTCATAAGACATGGAGACCAAAACCTAACCTAACTTTCAACCAAAATTTAACATCTGTCTAACATAAGAGTCCAACATTTTTCTAATGTCATATTGACATCCAGTGCCAACTGGCTCTGTGATTCATGACAAAATATAGTACCTGCAAATGCAATGATGGTCTCATTAGCCTCAGGCATACTTTGTGTTTAGTGCTAGTTAGCAAATGCTAATATGTCACATTACGGTGAGATGGTGACCACAGTAAACAAACCTGCTAATTGTCAGTATGTAAGCATTGTCACTATACATACTGTATGTTGCAGTGCTAACGTTAGCATTTTGCTCAGTCCATTTTCTTTTTAACACTCAAATTTCAATATTGACATCCAACTCTACAGTTCAGTGTTAGTTGTGTTTGATAGGTTTAGTGTCAAGGTCTTAACAGTGTACCTTGCGGAAGGCTTTCCTGGTGTCCCTGTAATTTCTGCTCAGGCCCACCACCATGTTCATAGCAAAACGCCACACCATATAGTTCTGTAGATCCCTGTGAGGAGACAAGGGGCGTTGAAAGAAACGGTCTTACATACACAAAGCTACGATGGGTTAGCAGCTGTTTTCATTGCAGTTCACTCCCGCCCCCACAAACAGGCTATCATACACAAACACTCAGCACCACTACAGACTCATACAAACACACACACACCTCTTGTTGTATTTGGCCAAGATGAGGTTGAGTCTTCTGTAATAGTTGGGGGAGTAGTTAATGACCTTTTCTGTGTCAGGAACACTGATGTTGACTGTATCCATTATCTTAGCTGTGAAGTAACTCCAGTCAAATACCTTTAAATGTGAAAGCACAGACAAAGAGGAGAAAAACATTAGAAAGAGCAAGGGGTGAAAAAGAAACAGCAAATTCTGACAGAGAAAGAGTCTATTTTTACCTGTGATTCAACCTCAAGGGTGAAGTTGGCGTTCAGATCACCCAGTTCCATCTTGTTGTAAAGCAACACTGGGTTGTTACGATCCTCTGGAGTATCAGTAGCCTTGGAGTGAGTAAGACAGAGAGGTAGAAAATCAAGAATGCTGTCACAACATAACCCTCCTGCTTCCTGACACATGCGTACAATTTCAGTGCCGGTCCAGCAGCAACAAACATCTTTGGACTCCCAGGAGGCTTTAGGTCTGTAAATGTCAGAGCTTGAATGGTGTGACTGCCTTGTAAAAGCCAGCAGCCGAGTGGAGGGGAAGTGAAGCGTGGCAGTGAGGAAAGCACAGAACCAGCACAAAATGACAAACGTGGACTGTGGAAACCTGTTGATATCTGAGAAAAGTTGTTGTGTAAGGATCAGGCTGGTTAACGGCTTGTTCAACGCAGCAGCTGCTTCAGACTGGAGCCACAAACACACGCAGAGGCGAGAGGTGTGGGCTACAAATGGAAACGAGGAAGGTCATCCTGTCAGAATTTGTTTGCTCACAAAATCCTCCTGTTGTGTGAAGCTGAGATCGAAGACAAGGTATGTATTGCTGCCGGACAAAAAAAACGCACTCTTGTATAGCTCTAGAGGAAATTCTCAGATCTGATGAACTATTTAGTGTCTGCAACAGCGTCTAAATCCCAAATCTTCAAATACCCAAGCTTGGTCAGTGGCCCCACACATCAAACTATGACTCTGTAGGCACCTCTCTATTACTTTTGAACATTTAGGGGTGGCTTATGAGTCCCAGCTCATTAAATGCATTGTGTCTTTTCAAAAAGAAAAAAAAAACAACTTCTGTATTCACATGACATGTACAGTTTACACTCCTTAAGTACAGTCTTGTTTCGGAGTAAACTTCCAACATAGGTTTACTTCATAAGGTTTAGGCAACAAATGTACATGGTTAGGTTTAGAAAAGTGATCATGGTTTCATATTACTGACGTAATGTAATGTCATGTATGTCACATGACATATGTCCTACGCTACATTGTTGAAATAACTCTCTCTTGATTTTTTGTTTCACAGAGGACCTGAACAGCAGCATTCAGGGTGAAAGTCCTACATTTGTTTGACCAATCCACCTGCTCTGCTCGGACTTAGACAGTTGCTCAGAGCGTCAGATAATGGCACGGGCCGATGCGTAGCACTTAGATACTAAAGGGTGCGTCGGTAACAAGTGGCAACTTCTTGAGCTGAAAAATGAAGCCAACGCGCAAGTATCAGATACTGCAATTCCTCTAATGACCACCTGAGGGTTGGTTCCAGAAGTGAGTCAATCCCAATAGACCCCCACTTGATGCCCGACTTAACAGTAAAAATAAACATGTTTACAACCTGGTGCAAAAAAAAACAAACAAAAAAAACAAAAGAGTTTTGGTGTTTATAGCTTATTTCAACATTCATGAAAACTGTACAGGGTGTGAATTTCTATGTAACTCTTCCGTTTACATTTTGTTAAGGCTTGAAGTTACGCATATCTAAGGGTGGCACCGCTTTGAGTGACAGGCTGTCTGCAAGGCGTTTGCACAGTCTGTGAGTCAGATCCACTGCTCACTCATCCATAGCTCTACCCTCTCGTCCAGATATGGCTCAAAAATACAAGATGGCTGGAATGCTGAACTCAAGGCTTTCAAATGGCAGCCCACAAACCAATGGGTCACAGCATGGTAGGTATGTCCATTATGTTGGTTTGTAACTGACACCAAGGGCCAAAGACCAAGCATTGATATTTGACAAGTTGGGAGTGAGGACAGGTTGGCTTCTGTGGTAATAATTGTGAATGCATGCTTACATTGGCGATGTCCCTCTCCAGGTCCATAACACGTGTCACATCCTCTCTGATGCGGGTTTCATTGATGGTCAGTCCCCGGTCAGTGCGGATCAGCTTAGCCAGGTCAATCATGAACTGCTCGTAGGCCCGACATGCCTGTCAGACACACACTTATTTATGATATTCGTATCTTGAAGTCACTTTGACAATCACAGACAGATACACACACACATAGAGACACACACATACAGTACACACCTACACTTACATTTGGCGTGCCTCAAGCTAAGTGCAGTTAAGTGCTGCTTTCTGCATATCAATCAAAAGTCCATGTAAACTGTAAAGTAAAACCAGAGCAGAGGATGTTTGCTCTAATCACACACATCTGGTCTGGATTGAGACACAACCAAATCTGTTCTGTTTTGCCTCTTTGATTCTAATCATCACTTACTGCCTCGGAGCACAGTCTTATTTATCACATACGCACACGCTTGTTAATGCACGTAAGCAAAAAATAAACACAGTCAATTCAGGTGCTGATATTTCAGCTGATGCCCTCATCATTTGTCAGGCATCATGTTTCCCAGAACAAACTCCTGGGGACATAGAACCCAGACTCAATGGCACTCGCCCAAATGAACACATGGAGCTCTTTTCATTGTGCATCACTTTAAAGCCTTAATTATATTATGAGTGTGCGTGCATGTGTATTATCTTTACACTTCAGACCTACCTCTGCGTAGGGTCCAGTGCAGGCGTAGTAATCTCTGGACAAGAGGCCGAGGTTTGTCTGCTGGTCAAACTGGCAAAGAGCAGGACAGGAAAACACTTATTTATTCGTATTAGCCAAAGAAAACAAATTTGATGACATTGGTGGGTGGTTATTTTCCAGCTGGATGGATACAATGTGTGAGTGTCTATATAAACATGGGTCTGTGAAACAGAGAGAGAAAGACCAGGGCTTTCTGGCTACAGTCGCACACCTACATGAATGATGTGTGAATTGGAGTCCCTGTCATCAGTGCCGACAAAAAAGTTAACCAAGAGTTGAGTTCCATATTTCTCATTCAGCTTGGCGATGACATGCTCCAACCTCCACGTTTTACCTAAATAACAGAGAAGGAAGGAAAACTGAGGAAGAAGAAATTGCCTGTACATGACTTCTGCTGTGCATGATGATAGAAAAGAATACTGTACCATAGTTGATGTCCCAGTCGTCCACAGCTATGGGCCAGTCAAACACATCAGGAAGCATGTCCAGCAAAGGAGTCCCTCCCCTGAGCTCAATTAAACCTTAAATCAAGCGTAGATACAAACAAGCAAACCTCTGTTTCTGACAATAAAATGCAATTAAGTATATGTCAATCAAAATTCAGAAAAGAAAAAGAAAATAAAGCTTGTTGTTATTCATATATTGTACTTCTTATCAAGCATAATTAATCTATGCAAATTTGAGAGCATTATGAGGAGTTCATTGATGTTACTTCTAAGCCAAAATGCTTTTGAAGAAACCTTTAATTTGCATCACAAAATGATGTAAAGCTGAAAGACAGTAATTCTTATTTTTAAAAATAATTATTGATAACAATTGTTAATACATTTTTTAATGGTAGCTTGACAATACAATAAACTGAATGAAAGACACAACCTTTGATGACTGCAAGAAAAAAACTCATTTTAGGAAAATAGAAGACACAAAAATTAATAGTCTCTGATGCCTGCTGACTCACTCTCATTGGTACAGGATTTGTAAAGGGTCTTAGCCTTGGTGAGCGCAGTGGCTTCCCCCTCCACTGTTTTTTCAAGGACACCTACAAATAGAGCAGAGACAGAGCGAGCATGAAGGAAAGACATAAAGACAAAGACAAAAAGATTAAGGAGAAATGAGCATTCATGTGAACAGAGAGAAGGAAAGACAAGAGAGGGATGTAAATAACCTCCGGTACTATATTGATTTTTTTTTTAATCTTTGTGGATTCAAAATAGAATACAGCTGTCACCCAGATGTATTTAATCATTTTAATTAAGGCATTTTTTTCTGTCCCTGTGTCAGACAGTGCCAACAAAAATAGTCATTAGTCAGTCATTACTTCAAACTGTAGCAAAATGGAACAACCACTGAAAAAGCAGATAATATAACATTATTCCATGGGGGGACATGTTATGAATGAATTTAAAGGTCTAGTGTGTAGGATTTAGTGTCATCCAGCAGTGAGGTTGCACATTGCAACCAGCTGAAACTTCTCTCGTGTGTCAAGTGTGTAGGAGAACTACAGAGGCTGACTCAAAAATGCAAATTGCCCTATCTGGAGCCAGTGTTTGGTTCATCCATTCTAGGCTGGACTCCATGGAAGAGGATCTGTTTCATATGTAGATATAAGTGGCTTATTAATATTACATACCATTTCTACCAGTATATCATACACAAAGAAATGTAATGGAACTGATGTAAAACAAGCATTTCAGTCAAAGAAACTTTATTTCCGTTGGCAGTATTATTTGTTCTGTGTTATATTATTATATTATAGTATTATATGCTCTGTTCTGGGGCCTCTCTGCCTTTCCTCAGACCTACGCAGAAAGCCTCTTCCACGCACTTACATGCAAGTGCGAGACAACACACCTCTCCACCTTTCCACACGTTTACATAGAATGCCTTAAGGCAGAGAGAGCACACCTCTCTGCCCTTCTACGTGCAAATGAGGACAGTCTGAAGCAGAGAGAGCAAACCTCCCTGCCCTTCCATGCGTCTCATGGAAAGCCTACGGCAGGGAGAGTAGCAGCACCCCCAGGAACCCCCCAGGAACAGAACAGAGTGAGTATCAATGACAAACAGAGATGGCATTGATAAGTCAGACACAGCATAAAAAGGAGGAGATGGGGTGGAGGCAGGTTGCAAAGCGGCTTGCAGAGGAAGCAGCAACAGTAAGCAGGCCAGAGCAGTTTAAATAGGGTGCCCTGAATGAGATTCGTCAGTTGTTTGCATGGAAAGGAATCAGCTGACTTCCATCCATCAATCAAAACTCTATGCTCAGTTTTCTATTTTTACACAGTATGCACAGTAGTTACCTGAAAAACAAAGTTTGTTTATATTGTCAACACTGGGCATTATTTAAAAGGAATATTCTAGTGAGAACAAAAAAACTTTCCCCTACCGAACAGACCTAAATCAGTTTTCACTCTTCTGGTAATTCTGAAAAATCATATCAAGTCTAACAACTTTGAAAAGATCAAAAGTTTACTCATTGGATGCATTGGAACGTTGCATTGATTAATCAATAGACTAGGATCCAGGAATGCATAACAATAGCTAGTACACCAGTACATAATTATAAAATGTTCCCCTGTTGTGCATGGTAAAACTTTGCTTTGAAGGATTGAATGAATAATTAAACATGAACTATTTATTAGTTGCAGTGCAATTAATCTTTTCATTTAAGTGATTAAGATTATTTGGGTCATTTGTTGTAGAGGTCAACGCTGTCATACAGACCACAAATTAATGCAATGCATATTTTAATCTCTGGTTGCTATAAATTGAATTTTCAGCATGGCGGTGATAATCAAGGCAGGGCTAGTGACCTCAGAGCAGCGAAGTCATAGCAAAAAAAAAGGTGGAAAGAAATCAAGGAGCAGCAAAGCTGAAGGTGTGGCAGTAAAAGGCCATTTGAAAACAAGAGTGAACACCATTGCTTGTTTTATTGCCTGCGTTCATTGCCTCTTCAACACCTGTTGTGGGCATATGGACGCCAGTTAGCTCAGCCTCAGGCTAGATAGCATTTCTAGGTAGACAGCTAATCAAAATGAGTGATAAGTGTTGGTGTGTAAACTTGCTCAACTGAGGGGGAGGAGAATGGGACCAACAATACACTTTTCCTGTGTTGCCTCAAGGCACAAAGTTGCACATTGTTGCTTTAAAGTTTAACCATTCCTTCAGGATGCGCTGTCGCTTCTCAGCAGCATCTAACATGAGAGTGAAGAATCATCAAGGCTCAACCTAACACCCATGTGGCAATTTTGGTGTTTACTAAAAACCACCATGGTGAATGCAAGTGTTTGTTGTGATAGTGTAAGAAATGTTGTGCCCTTTGAACATGGAAACAAAGAAACCTAACAGCTACTCATCAGGGGATACAGAGAGATTTGGTGAGGTTTTGATGAAATCCCTTGACATCCGAAACACCCGGTCATGGTTAAGTGGCACAGCACTACTTGGCTACGCTGAACTGACAAATAAAACAATGTGTACACACTAAGACAGTTTCTTCTTGGCTCTGGGCAATTGTTCTGTCATTTTTTCTGCTTCTGAGTTCAACAATTTTCTCTATCTGAAAATGCAGATTATGTTACAACTGATTTTCCAGAAGCATGTGGCTTATTATGTTGTGTACATGGGTTTTATGGTGGGTCTATCTGGGTTATAAGGACTGCATAATAGATAATGGATGATGCTAATCTCTTTTAAGTCTAAGCACATGTGATGAACTTCCGGTACATGCAAGTTCGAAAATGTGATATATCTAGTTTAGCATAGTACTTCTTTAGTGCATTTATAGACCTGCCACTTGTTGAAATCCACAAAGTTAGCTAGCCAAGTCAAGCTGTGCACACGTGTACTTCAGTATCATGCATATATCAGTCATGATGACTGCATCAGCTGCTCAAGTACCCTTATTCTTTAAAGAATTTATATACATATACATATATAGCAATATAGTGTGCTTAAATAAATCATGCCCCAGTTCACATCACTGAAACTAAATTTCAAAATGAAAGTAATCCAATGAGAATCAGGCAACAGGCTCATTGGCTTTCTATCTAAGATAAGGAGATTGCAGCCGCTTCTCATTCCCAGAACTTCAAATACAGCAGCTTGGTCAACAGCTGTTGGAGCCTGATTCTGACGCACAGGGGACACACTTTCAACCCCAGTGTAAACTCATTCACAGCAAAAACATGTAGTATAAAGCAGTAGTTCCCACCCATGAGGTCCAGATTTTTCCTTAGCCATTGGTTCAAGGTCCACACAGTGTAATCTGTTCTGCCTCATACTTGCGTTTGGCCATGCCATTGAGCTAGTTGACTGTCTCTGTTAAGTAGCTGTCCGTTAGTCAGTCACTTTACAGCAGGAAATGGCACTTTAAAATGAAAGCTGTGCCTGACATTCACTTCACTCCAAAGTAAAGTGTGTTTTTTTATAAACTTGATACATTCACAAGTCACTTGTGGTCCATTCAGAATGGACCCGCGACCCACCAGCTGAGAACCACTGGCATGAAGAGTGAGAAAGCCCACGTAGGGTGGCAGGGAGGGGGGTTGGATGGGTCAAATGAACAAGACTTTAACAAGTTTTTTTTTTTTTTTAAGTAAGTTGAGTACATCACATATGTCACTTGTCACGTGTGTCACATGACAAACATTACATACATCACATACATCAACAGATTTACTCATTAACTACCTTACAAAGGAAAGTTACGTAACAAATGTACTTATTTTAACTCAAACTATGATCTGTTTTCTAAACCTAGCCAGGTAGCCTAGTTTTGTTGCCTAAACCTGAAGAGACCTACGTTTCCTGTGAACTGAGAAGTTTATTTTAGAAGACACTATGAATGTTTCAGGCTGAAATTGAAGCACCGTCCCTAAGATCCAAAACTGATGCTAGACAGGTACCTAGAGTGTCATCGTTTTAAGTGTACAGCCACTGACCAAACTTGATGAGCTGGGAGTGAGAGAGCATGTTGAAGATTGATACCACTCTCATGTCTGTACATACAATATGTATGCAGCTGGTTAGCTTAGCTTAGCTTAGCTTAGCACGAAGACAGGAAGCAGCAAACCTGGCTCTGTCTAACGATAACAAATTCCACTTCCCAGCACCTCTAAAGCTCATTTATTAACACTGTATCTAATTTAACCCACATGTTAAAAAATGGCAATTTGCCACTTTGAAGGGTTATGTGCTGGACTATTTCTTGGCAACCAGAAACTCCAAGAAATTACTGTTCCCAGCCAAGAAATAGTCCAGCACATAACCCCCATAAGATGGAGACCAGATCTAATTGTTTAGATGAAACATATTAATTACAGAGCTTTAGAGGTGCTTATGGGCAAATGTTTCTGTATCATCAATCTCCTCGTATTACCCTTGGCAGGAAAGTGAAAAGAGTATTTCAGAGAATGCTTAACTTTAAATATCATTACCAAATAAAAAGGAGCCCCTCTAAAAGGGTATCATCTAAGCAGGACAACCTTTTGACTTTGACAAACCATCACACAAATCAAATCACAGCTTCAGTATTGTCAATCATAAAGTTATCTCTTATAAACGTTGCATCGGGATAAACAGATACACACCAACATACTGCATGTCTCAATGCAACGCCAAGATCAATACAGGAAAGAGGATGGATCTTGAGTTACACAGCCAACTGACAGGAAACTCTCCCCAGAGTCCATCATTCATGTCACTGTGAGTTGGGATCAAAAGATGAAGATGAAGAAATTTAGATTTTTTTTTTCTGTGCTTCGTAATTTTTGGGACTTACCGACAGGGCCAATCACAATTAACACAGCACGTAAAGCGTATTTAAAACAAGGTTTATCCTTTCGTTAATCTCCAATTTAATTTAATGTCACATCAGATCAGTGTCTTCAATACGCCTCTTCTTTGAGTGCATAATTTATGGAAAATCCACTCTCATTTAACTAAGCAGCGACTTAATATTCTTAATTTAATTCAACATTAAATCATAATCTTATGCAATTATTTTCATTTGCTCAGTGCTTTGAGTCATTTCTTTGCCTC